AAAAAAAAAAAATAAAATCAACGACACCAAAATAAAACTATCTTTATAAACTAATTGAATCAAATTATCATCATGCTATTGTCGATCTAATCAATGTTGACAACACGAGTAATACATGAACACTCCTGTAGAAAACATGATTCGTCGTACACGTCATTCGAAGTGCCGTCGTTGAGTTCGTTACACTAGCTTTCTGGGAAACTTCTTGGAGGTCATGACTAATCCATTCCGGTACAGAGGAAACGGTACGTCTTCCATTAAAATGCGCGCTGCGTGCGTGCGAAGCACACCTAAGACCCCGGTTGCTTCCGTTTAAGATCAATAGACGCAAGTGAGCAACGAGTAATTACGTCGTCGGTAAAAGCCGTGATCGTCCACGCGAATGTGAGAACCATCCTTTAACGATTCGTTTTACACCCGCGTGAACCGCACCTCTTCCTCGAATTCGATCGTAGATTTGTCTGGAATTACGATTTATCGCCACGTTCCAAACATTGATGTCTCTGCAAAGGATGATTATAAAGACGTATGATACGAGAGTGAGTGTACGTAATAGTTCTTAATTCTCTTTTAACTTTGCAACGATGAGGAATATGTTTTGTCCGTATTCGTATTAAATTTTGAAAATTTAAACGAGAATTATTAATTCAGTAGAGAATTTAATCTTTAATTAAGATATAATATATATGAAGTAGTTTAATTATTTCTAATAATATATTGATATTTTTAACTTTCTATATTTTTTGTTTTTAATCAAGTTATTTGATGTGATCAAAGGGTAAATAATTTGAGGTTAACTTTGGATATCAAAACATTCATTTATTATGTTATTATGTATAGAAATAAAATAATGATTTCTTTTCATTATATGATGAAGTTTTTAAATTAATAATTTCATCGAGTTTAAAAAAAAACTTTTATAATTTCTAAATCTTCTTGACAGATATTATACTATAATTTACTTAATATTATATTGAAATTTATAGTTTTTGCAATTAATAATTTTTCCAATATTCTAAAAAATCACGTATATTTTTCATAAAACAAAAAATTCTATAAAATCCAATCATTTAACAAATTATCTACAATTACATATCAATGCATTGTAATCAATCCAACTGTCAATCAAACAAGTTTCATGCAACGGTAACCTAAAGTTTCACTTACATTTTCTCAAGTTTTTCTGCTGCAACCTTCATCACTGACACGACAAATTATATCTCCATTTTTTCTTTTTTCATTTGTAAGATAAAGACACGATTAACAGAGCGAAACGAAAGAATATACGACTAAAATACTATGTAAAACAAGATCGAAGGTTTTCTTTGAAAGGAGGAAGAAGCTCGCATGAGAGCAAGATTATGACATCATGGTGGAATGCATTAGCCGTGGTGCATGAGTCACGCAACTTTGTCGCATTGCGTTCTTTCGGCGACACGATCATTTACAATGATTTTTTCTCGCGTATGACGACGCAGTTCATAGATAATTCGAGCATTCTCGTAATTGATATGATAAGTGAAGCTACGATGCGATTATCCATTAGCTGGGAACGTTCGGTTTATCACGGTTGTTTAGAATTAATTTCGCAACGAGGTTAGGTTATTAATTAAAAATTTCTTGTGAGACTCGCAAAGAAAATAAAGCCAATGATCTCTGAAGATACTTATTTTGATGTAGTGGTAAATAATTATTTTTGTTTTTTTCTTGTTTTCTTCTATTTAATTTATGTATTTGGAAGGGAACACATGTGATAATGTATGAATCAGTGTTGACATTAGAAACACGTGTTCATTGATAAAACAAAAATAATAATGTTGTGACTATGATATTTTTATTATGAAAATGAAGTATTATTGTGAACAAATTGTATTTGGTTTTTATAATATTATATTTTATAATATTGGCCAAATAATATATTTTTTATGGAATATGAAGTAAAGAATATAATTATCTTTAATCTGATTACTTAGTTAATTTAATATTTAGACTTTATTATAAGTTTTATTTAAACTTCTTTTTTTTCTTTTCTTTTCTTTTCATTTTTTCTTTTTTTAGAAAAAATTAAATATTCAAATAAAAAAATATATAGTAAGTATATATAGTAAGTATATCTCAAGAACTTTAATGTTTCTAATACCTGATAAAGAAAATATTTTAGAATTTAAAGGAGAATTCTCAAGCAACTAACATAAATTGCTGACTGTGACAAAGTATGTACAAAGAATATCATTTTCAAAAATATATATATATAAAACTTAACGAAATCAATTTTATCAGAGTTAGTTGTTAAATAACTTCGAAAGATATATTTACATGTAGATACATGTAGATAAATTTAGACATAAAATTGACTATGATCTTTGTTAAAAAAAATAGAATTTTAAATAGAAAAAAAAAACAATTTTAAAAATGAAGTAATTTCTATTTTTTCTTTTTTGTATTTTAGATTCCAAATGTCTAAATAGGCAACGATTAAAATCCTCAATTTATTTATGGAACACGAAGAATAGTATAAAGGGATTGAATGACAATCGCAATTTCAAATTGTTGATTTCGATTATTGATTTCGATTGTCGATTTCGAGCACGAATTTCCGCGTTCTTCCGGCTGGCAACAAAGAGGTGCACTTTCCGTCACGGTCATAAACGGAACACAATGAGAGATTAACCAGCTTGCTGAAAGTAAATTCCGGTTTTCCTATGTTACGATTCATCATTTGACAAACTTCACGTTTTTTCTTCTTGATGAGATTGTTACAACAAAGCTTTTGTCACTCTTGACTCGATATATCATTTACCTAGTATATAATTTCTTTTTAGTAATTATTGTTTACACTAGTATTATTTATTGGTTGCAATCTAACTTTACATTTTAATATTTAATTTTTTTCAAATTTCATTTACTAATGTATTAATAAATTGGAAAGTATAAATAAGATATATTTATATTTGAGAATATCATCATCATATTTTTTCTTTTATATTTGAGAATATCAAAGAGATTTTAAGACTACTAATTAAAAAAAGAATTTTATATTTCAAAAAATATATTTTTCTTTCAGTTTTGATATAATAAAAAAAATATTTAAAATGAATTTTTCCTTACTTACCAAATTGCTAACAACATTATAAAAAAAGAAATATGATTTAGAAAAAAATAAGCAGAAAATTACATCGAATGTTTCTTGTTATAGATTTTTCTCGTGAGATGCCGGAGACGGAATACTGATTTATTTGAAGATGGTGAGAGATTGCCGGTTACAACCGAAGAGATAAACAGCGATAAGATAGAACATATCATTTGTCAAATGAGACGTTGTCCTGTTCTCTGCGTACACGTTTTGCCTCTGACAATCTTGCTACGTGCTTTGAAATGTATTTTCAATGCATTCACTACTGAACGTGTTGAAATGTATACTTGTAGATAGGTATATTTCTTTTTCTATCATGTAAAACTAATTGTGAATAATAATATGAGACAAGACTTTCTCAAGTTGTGTAATATATTCAAAACATATTTTTAAAAAAATTGCTTTCTTTCTATAGAAAATATGAATACATATGCAAACTAAGTGAAATGCTGTTTATAAGTAGACTAATAATCTTTCTTTTTCATATTCTATTTCTAACTACAAATTTCTATTCATTCA